ACCCAGGCTGGAGTGCAATGGCGCGATCTCGGCTCACCGCAACCTCCGCCTCCCGGGTTCAGGCAATTCTCCTCCCCCAGCCTCCTGAGTCGCTGGGATTATAGGCACGCGCCACCATGCCCAGCTAATTTTTTGTATTTTTAGTAGAGACGGGGTTTCACCATGTTGACCAGCATGGTCTCGATCTCTTGACCTCGTGATCCACCCGCCTCGGCCTCCCACAGTGCTGGGATTACAGGCTTGAGCCACCGCGCCTGGCCCCTATTTTACTTTTGAAATAATTTTCAAATTATTTGCATCTGAATTAATGGCTGAAGCATTAATGATTGCTGAAGAGAACCCTGAAACTTAATACTTAGCACATGTAACAAAAAGTTGATTTATCCATTGCTTACTGAGGTATCCTTGAGAAATGATCTTAAGAAGCAGGAGCAGTGACAATGACAGAATTAAATAATGGTCATGAATTACATATTGGGAAACAAAGTGGCATTGAGCAGAAAAGAAAGAAGCTGTTGCCATAAATTTGGGATACATAAAAATGGATTATATCTTCTATATTGTGGGATAAAAGAGAGGTGTAAGAAAACTTTGTAGGAGGTCTCTCCCAGTGGCATTTATGTAGGGCTGTGTTTAAGGATCAACCAAAAGTAGTGAGTTATTTTTATCCTGTTTCCCCATTTAAGAGTTCTTGCAATTACTGGAACATCATCTTTTCAATTTTTTTTTTTTTTTTTTAACTTTTTCAATTATTTAAATAGAGACGGGGCTTCACCATGTTGCCCAGGCTGGTCTTGAACTCCTGGGCTCAAGCAGTCTGCCCACCTTGGCCTCCCAAAATGCTGGGATTATAGGCATGAGTCACTGTGCTTGGCCAGAACATTTTCTTTGCATACACTGACTTTTCTCCCCTTCGAGTCATCAGAAAAGGGGATAATTTTTAGAAATCAGGTTTAAGCACTCATTTCAGATAAGGATTTCATGGTTACAACAGTTATCTCAAAAATAGAAGTATGAAGAGTAAGTGAAAAATCTGGTTTCAGATTACATTAGGCAGCTCCCTATAGAAACTTTGCAGGGGCTAATAGTCCTGAGGAAGATTTTAGTTAGTATTCCAGTCCCATAGATCTGATCTGAGCAAAGCTGAAAAATAAATCTGGTCAAAAATAAAGGGAGATTACTCAGGATGGACTGAGTCTTAAACTTGTTTCTAACGGCCCATGGTAGGCATGACAACAGCAGGTGAGGAAAGTGTAGCATCTTCTTCTTTCCATTGAGAAGTAATGGTCTTTAACTGAGTGTAGAATTGGATGCCCTAAGAAAAACAGAAAAAAGGTTAGCATATATTTCTGGGGTTTCATGATTCTTCTTTTAATTAGCTTTTGAAGGAGGTATTATAAAGCGCTACGTTCCTAATTGAGTAATGCAACCCAAATCCAATATATTGTTCATAAGGTAATTGATCTAAAACATTTAACATAATATCTGGCAGATAGTAAACAAACCTTAGCCATCATTATTATGCTGAAACTAGTATTTCTTTCTTTCTTTTTTTTTTTTTTTTGAGACGGAGTCTTGCTTTGTCACCTAGGCTGGAGTTCAGTGGCATGATCTCAGCTCACTGCAACCTCTGCCTCCTGGATCCAAACGAGTCTCCTGCCTCAGCCTCCCAAGTAACTGGGATTACAGGTGCATGCTACTGTGCCTGGCTAATTTTTTGTATGTATTTTTAGTGGGGATGGGGTTTCACCATGTTGGCCAGGCTGGTCTCGAACTCTTGGCCTCAAGTGATCCGCCCTCTTCAGCCTCCCAAAGTGCTGGGATTACAAGTGTGAGCCATGGTGCCCCCGGCTGTAATATAGTAGGCCATTTCTTTCTTTATTTTTTTGAGATGGAGTCTCACTCTGTTGCGCAGGCTGGAGTGCAATGGCGTGATCTCGGCTCACTGCAACCTCCACCTCCCAGGTTCATGCAGTTCTCCTGCCTCAGCCTTCTGAATAGCTGGGATTACAGATGTGTGCCACCACACCCAGCTATTTTTGTATTTTTAGTAGAGATGGGGTTGGCCAGTCTGGTCTTGAACTCTTGACCTCTGTTAATCTGTCTGCCTCAGCCTCCCAAAGTGCTGGGATTACAGGCAGAAGCCACTGCTCCCATTTCTGACAATTATCAGAGATCATGAGCTCTATATTGAAGTGGCAAACCCAAAGTATCTTACAAATCTAAGTAAAATGTCTGATATTATACAAATTCACTTCTAAATTACCTATATGAGCCCCAAAACTCAGCTCTCTCTGTATATAGATATAGTTTATTTATAAGAGTAGGCTTGAGCAAAAGAGAACACTTTGTACAGATTTAACAATTATACAGTTACTAGCAAGCTAGAATGATGTTTTACCAGATTACCAGAGTAATTTATAATAATTAAACTGGGGGGTGCAGTCAGGAGCTGTGACCTATGCCTGTAATCCTGGCACTTTGGGAGGCTGAGGTGGGCAGATCCCTTGAGGCCATGAGTTTGAGACTAGCCTGGCCATCATGGTGAAACCCCACCTGTACTAAAAATACGAAAACAATTAGTGGGCATGGTGGCTGATGCCTGTAATCCCAGCTACTTAGGAGCCTGAGGCAGAATTGCTTGAACCTGGGAGGGGGAGGTTGCAAGTGAGCCAAGATTGCTCCGCTGCACTCCAGCCTGGGCGACAGAGCAAGACTGTCTCAAAAAATAACTAACTAACTAAATAAATAAATGGGAGGATGGGCAGGGAACAATTTTAAACAATAGTTGTACTCTGTTTTGCTTAAAAGAAATGTTTGTTACTAGTATCAAATTGGTCATTTTTACAAAAGCTGTGACTAGGCCAGGTGTGGTGGCTCACACCTGTAATCCCAACACTTTGGGAGGCCGAGGTGGGCAGATCACCTATGGTCAGGAGTTTGAGACCAGCCTGGCCAACATGGCAAAAACTTGTCTCTACTAAAAATACAAAAATTAGCCAGGTGTGGTGGTGCGTGCCTGTAATCCCAGCTACTCAGGAGGCATCGACAAGAGAATTGCTTGAACCCAGGAGGTGGAGGTTGCAGTGAGCTGAGATCACACCACTGCACTCCAGCCTAGGTGACAGCAAGACTCCATCTGAAAAAGAAAGAAAAACAAACAAACATAAAAGCTCAAAATAAACAAAAAACCAAAAGCTGTGACTAACATACTAACTGGATAATTAGCCTCTAAATACTGAGGTGTTGACTTCTTAACTATTTGGCCACACTGTCATAATATGATGCAATGCCATTGTTAATTTTTTAATAACCCAAACATAAATAAAATTAAAAAGTCCCACATCCCCTGCCCTCTGGCAGGATGCAGCTGGCACAGAAAAAAAGAAATTATTAACCTATAAAAGGGGAGACTTGTATAGAAAAAGATGCAATTTATTAATGAAGGTTAAAATGGCTGTATTCCTATGGGACTACAAAGAACTTCCCCTAGACTATTTGTTCAACAAATGTTTGGGCAGCCTGCTCTGTGCCAGGTACTGCAGATATGTAAATAACAACTACAGTGTGATGAGTGCTTCTTTACATGGCTTAAAGAGCTGTAGATGAGTCAACCCCTGCCTGCCTCTTTAACCTCATTTCTTCCCTTTCTTCTCATTTGCTCACTGTACTCCAGGCCATTTCCACTGTTGGAATGTGCCATGTTTCTTCCTGCCTTAGGACATATGCACCTGCTGGCAGATGTAGCAATAATAATAATAATTTTTTTTTTTTGAGACAGAGCCTTTTGTTGTCCAGGTTGGAGTGCAGTGGTACAATCTCAGCTCACTGCAACCTCTGTCTGCTGGGTCCAAAGGATCCTTCTGCCTCAGTCTCCCAAGTAGCTGGGATTACAGGCTCCTGCCACCACACCTGGCTAATTGTTGTATTTTTAGTAGAGAGGAGGTTTTGCCATGTTGGTCAGGCTGGTCTCAAACTCCTGACCTCAGGTGAACTGCCCGCCTCAGCCTCCCAAAGTGCTGGGATTATAGGCGGGAGCCACTGTGCCTGACCCACAGCAGTCCTTACATTATGAAATATATAGGTACTACTGTTATTATTTTTATACGTGAATAAATTTAAGGGATAAAGAAGGTATCCCGGCCAGGTGCAGTGGCTCATGCCTGTAATCCCAACACTTTGGGAGGCCGAAGCAGGTGGATCATCTGAGGGCAGGAGTTCAAGACCAGCCTGGTCAACATGGTGAAACCCTGTCACCACTAAAAATACAAAAATTAGCCAGGTGTGGTAGTGGGCCCCTGTAATCTCAGCTACTCCGGAGGCTGAGGCAGGAGAATTGCTTGAACTCAGGAGGCGGAGGTTGCAGTAAGCTAAGATCACACCACTGCACCCTAGCCCAGGCAACAGAGCGAGACTCTGTCTCAAAAAGAAAAATAAATAAATAAAATAAATAAAAGAAGGTATCCTCCAAAGTCACACAGCTGATAACTGGCTGAGCTGGGATTTGAACGCAGGCAATTTGGTTCCAGATCTGCTTAATTTTCCTCTTCAGTGCTATATTCATAGTGCCTAAAATAATGTCTGCTACAAAGAAGGTGTTCAATAAAATTTTTTGTAAGTGAATGACTATTACAGAAAAAATATGTACAATGGGAACACACTGGGGCACACTACCCAGCACTGAAGAAGGGGTGGTGGTGGTTGGAGGAAGTTTTCTGGAGGGGCCCATTTTTTAAAGTGAGACATGACAGATGATTAGGAGTTAGATGAAAGGGGAGAGATGGAGAAGAGGGTCACAAGCTGAGGAAATGGCATATACGAAGGCACTTCCCCATGCTCTTTCCTCAAAACTTTGTTACTTTGAGTTATTCAGGAAGAAGCAGCTTTGGCAAAATTTTGTTAACTTTTAAATCTTTTTTAGGTAACCTTCTGAGAAGCACTGATTATGACCCCACAGATGCTGCTGGCAGGCCCTTCCTTGCAGAATCCTTGCTCTTGAATATCTTTAAGAAAATTTCTTAAAGGAAAAGACAAGAATTTTAACTCAAAAGTTACCTGTTTGCCATAGAAATTGGTGTCTCCTCTGAAGGATGATCGAGAGCCGGTGAATGAGAACATTGGCAAAGGCACTGGAATGGGAACATTCACTCCCACCTAAAAGAGAACAAATCTATGTATCCTAAGGGCAAAGGAACTCTCATTTAGAAGCACCAGTTTCCAATACCCACCTTCTTCCCCATCCTCTACCTCATGAACTTTCATTCCTGAGGAAGGAAACAGGGCACTGTGGGAGGTCATGGAGGCAATCTTAAACCAATGACTCACCATTATTTACAGTTTCCTCTTAGGAAATAGAAAATGGATATAAGAATCTCTAAAAAATTCTGTTGACAAACCTGTCCAACATCCACCAGGTGGGCATATTTCCGAGCAGTGGCTCCATTGGTGGTGAAAATGGCAGTTCCATTTCCATATGGGTTGTTATTTACAATCTGGATGGCTTCATCCAATGTTTCTGTCTCCAGAACCACAAGAACTGGACCAAAAATCTCCTCTTTGTAACAGGTCATATTTGGCTGCCAGGAAGGATGCATCGAGAAAAGAAGTCAGCTTTTTGGATTCTGAGTATTTTATGTTTATTTGGTACTTTGACTTACTACACATCATTTACATGGACAACTTTCATATTATTAATCTCTTTTCATTTCAAATCACCTACTTTTTTAAAAAAAAGTCCTCTCTTAACTGTGTTCCATCTTCCAAGCTACCAATCATATAAACAACTTGGAATTCCTATCAATAATAACCACACTTCCTTTAAGGTACTGTATTTTTAGTTCATGACCCATCATTAGCTTCCTTTTTAATACCTGAACAACTTGTTTCATCCAATTGTTATCAAAAAGTTACATGGAAATTTATTTTTTATAAAACCAATATATATTATACCAGAAGAATTTTTCTTTTTATAGAAACCCAAGCTGTTTTCTGTAACATAAATAATCCATTCTTATTCACTCCTTCCTCTGCCTCCCAAATAAGTCTGTATGTTTATATTTTGATATCAGGTCAACCTGAACACTCAAAACATCACTGTAGCTAATGTTTGTTGCTGATAAACGGATTTTTCTGTATAGTTCTGTGGCAAGAGATTTCATAATTTCTGCTACACTTAAATTCAACAGTTGGTGCTTCACTATTATATATGAATTTCAAAAAAAACTTCATAACCTCAATTTTTAAGTCGTATTAGCTGAGAGACTTTCAAAGTTTTGATAAATAAAAATTAACAAGTCAATTATTTTCTCATTTTCAATAAATATTGGGTGGTTTGATATAGTGGTTGAGATACTGCAGTAGTCATAAGCTAGGCAGCAAGAGGGAGAGGGAAGAGAAAACTAACAAACCAGTATAAGATAAGATAGCATTTGGTAAACTATAGCCTGTGGGCCTAAATGTGGCTTGCTGCCTGTTTTTATACAGCCCCCAAGTTAAAAATGGTTTCTGCATTTTTAAATGGTTGAAAAAATATTTAATCATATGTAAAATGACATGAAATTCAAACTTCAGTGTCTATAAAGTTTTATTGGAACACAGCCACACAATGTTTATTGCTGATCTCACACTACAATGTCAGATTTTAGTTGCAACAGACACTATATCCCTGCAAAGCTGAAAATATCTATCCGTTTATGGAAAGTTTGCAGACTTCTGGTATAGTGGAAAGAGTTTGGTTGGGAGTTAGAAGGGGAGACTCATTCAGATTCCATATAAAATAACTGATCAATCCTGGCAAGAGATGAGGTCTTAGTCATTAAGCATTTTCATTAATAAATTAGAGGGATGAGATTGTATAGCCTTTAAGGTGCCTTCAGCTCTCATATTTGTGGAACCAAACTTGCTCACCTTGACATTCGAGATGATGGTTGGTCCAACGAAGTTGCCATTTTCATAGCCTTTCACTTTAATTTTTCGTCCATCAAGAAGGATGGAAGCTCCCTCCTTTGTTCCACTATCAATCAGATTACAGACTCTCTCTTTGGCCTGGGGAGTGATCAGAGGGCCAAGATCAGCTCCAGGCTGATCTCCTGTAAAACAACACAGAAGTATTTAAGGTCCTCATTAACATAAATTGTCACTGCTGCCAGGGCTCATGCCTGTAATCCCAAAGCTTTAGGAGGCCAAGGGAGGAGGACTGCCTGAGCCCAGCAGTTCAGACCAGCCTGGGCAACAAAGTGAGACTTCATCTATACAAAAATAAAAAAATTAGCCAGGTGGTGGTGCACACCTGTGGTCCAAGCTGCTCAGGAGGCTGAGGCAGGAGGATCACTTGAGCCCAGGAGCTTGAGGCTGCCATGAGCTAGGATGGCACCATTGCACTCCAGCTTGGGTGACAGAGTGCCTCTGCCTTTAAAA